CCACGATACCTGGGTGTGGTGTTGAGGGGTTTGCGAAGCTCGTTCTACCTCCTTACTCAGGTACCTTACCTTAAGGTAGGTATCATCGCGTCGCTGCCGCTTCGATAAGGGTTTTAGAATGTACGATAAGCATATTTTGGCGGGGTCATGACGCCACGACTCTGGTGGGGGGGGGGCGCGGGGGGGGCTCTTTCCCATTCTTTGTCTCTGTGGTGGGTTGGCACCTCCTTCTCACGAATGGGGCCAACCGAGTAACCTCCTCTCATCATCTCACACATGTGCTGACGCCGAAAAGCAGAAAGGACCCCAAATCATCAAAAACCAAATGGCATTGTCTACGACAACATGGATCACATCATCTTCGCGTGGGCAGGTACGAAACATAGAGCCTGGTCAATCATCTGACCCCTTCGACCTCGCTCTCCCTCGGCACACCCTAGCCCCTATCCCGAAGTCGTCGATCCACCACGCCTTTGGCGCCTCGCAGCACGTAGCCCCTCCATCGTCTTGCCTCAAGGGTCGCAATGGCCCAGGAGGGCGGGCAATCAGATGACTGGCAGAACTAGCAAAACCCGGAGACGCCATGTGGATCGACATCACGACATCGGCTCGCGCGATCGCTGCATGATGCCCCGAGCTGCCGACCATGATCATTTGCAACCACATTATGGCGTCCCAGCCTCGGCGCGTCAACGTCCCATCGACCGCGGGGTCTCTGTTCTGCTTGTTCTAAAGACGCGGGCTGTCCCTCCACATTCTACTGTCTTGTTGCATCCTCCCAACAATCTCACGATACCCTTTCTCACCTTGCGCCGCCGAACCAGACGAATAACGGGACCCTCTAAGCCGCCGGATACAAACAATCCTCTGCGCTACACTCCTGATTAACACGACCACGACGATCCGACCAGAACTTCACCACCATGCCCTCCGCAGCGCCGCCCCCGGGCATCTACGTCCCCGTCCCCACCTTCTTCGCCCGCAAGTCCGCCGCTTCCTATGACCCCATCACACCTCCCCTCGACCTCGAGACGCAGGCTGCCCACTCTGTATACCTCGCCCAGGCCGGCATCAAGGGCCTTGTCATTCTCGGCTCGACCGGAGAGGCCGTCCACCTTCGCCTCGCTGAACGCGGACAGGTTCTTTCCGCCGCCCGCGCCGCCCTCGACAAGGCTGGCTTCTCCGACTACCCCATCATCGCCGGCACCGCCACCCAGGGCGTCGACGAGACGGTCGAGCACCTGACGGCCGCCCGCGACGCCGGCGCCCAGTGGGGCCTCTGTCTCGTCCCCGGCTACTTTGCCGGCGCCAGCACCCAGTCCGGCATCATCGCCTGGTTCCGCGCCGTCGCTGACCGCAGCCCTCTTCCCGTCCTGATCTACCACTACCCCGGCGTGTCCAACAACGTCAAGGTTGCCCCCTCCACCTACGAGATCCTCGCCGCCCACCCCAACATTGTCGGCTGCAAGCTCTCCCACGGCGACGCCTCCCACCACGCCCTCATCGCCGCGAACCCCTCCATCGACCACACCGCCTTCGCCACCTTTACCGGCCTGGGCCAGCACCTCCTCCCCGTCGTGTCCATCGGTGCCGCCGGTGCCATTGACGGCTCGGCCGGCTTCTTCCCCCGTTCCGTCGTTCGCCTCTATGAGCTTGCCGTCAAGGTCCGCCCCACGGACGAAGAGGCCGCCGAGCGCCGCCTGCTGCAGTTCCGCGTCAGCGGCGTCGAGGAAATTGTCGTCAAGTTCGGCACCGTGGGCATCAAGGAGGCCATCAGCCGCCTGCGCGGCTTTGGCGACATTGACGGCACCCGTCTGCCCCTGCACGGAGGCATCCCTGGCGGCGACGCCGAGTGGGCCCAGTGGAAGAGCGTTCTCGAGCCCCTCGAGGCCATCGAGAAGAGCCTAGGTGGCCAGTGAAAGAAATAGGACAATGGGCATGGGCATGGGCATGGACATGGGAGGAGCGATCTCTAGACGGGCATATCTTAGACAGGTTTTCCACATGAAGGAACAGATGGTGTCGTCCCACTCGTGCGGCGTTCACTGACGGACATGATAAAATGTCAATCACATGGTTCTTTTTTTTTAACTCTCAACTATGAGGTGGTGGCTATGAACTTTGTCGTGATATGACCTGCGTCTGCATTTCCTCTCTTGCCTCCCCTAAGCCTCGCGGAAACATGCACAACCAATCTTGCTTTCCAAAACAGAGAAGCCACACAAAAGACAGCAGGTGAAAAAAAAAACGCCTCCAGGCCCTCGCTAAAAGCAAAAACAATCACATCGACGGGGAAAACAAAATCCTAACAATGGCTTCAAGCTCCTTCAGCTCGGTCCGCAACGAGTGGTCGCGACCTCACCCCTGGATCAATGTTTCCTACATGGCCAAGCACAGGTCTAGGGGTATCATGTAGTTCGGCTCAGCATGCGTGGTCAACTCCTCGGGTAAGAAAACAGAATGCAAGATACAAAGGAAAACAAAGAGGAGCCCGCCTTCGCCAGTTCGTCCGTCTATGATGCCAGTGTTTCGTGTCGTCGTCGCAGGGTCAAACTTGATGCCCCTTTTTGCTTGGCAGTCTTGGTATCGATTGAGAGATGAGTAGACATCGCGACTGAGACTGACGTTGAAACTTAATGCCTCTTGTATTTCTGTGACAGTAGTTAGCATGGGATACAATGCTCGGGCAGTTCGCTTGGTGGCTCACCTCTTCAGCGCGTCGTCGGTTCTGCGGATCAAGCGAGTTTGTTGCCCCTATCAGTGTCTTGCCGATCGCCTTACTCGCGCCGATGGCCGGCCTGAACACAATTGTGGGCGCTCGTTTGTACAGCACGCGAGCCAGCCCCTGTGCACTCTGGCTGTCCATGACCTCACCCGGCACCGCAATGATAGCATCGCGGGTCGAGTGCAGATCGCGCATCAAGCTCTGGTAACCGCCGCGCAATCCTTGGATCACACCGGTAGGCTGGTCTGCGTATAGACTGATCTGCTTCTGATGATCGTCCGCATCAGCTGGGTCGTCACCATCCCAGTTTGTTGTCTCGGCAGTCGGCGGCCTGGTGGTAAGCAGTCCCTCGGCGCCTTGAAGAGCGGTCTGTGTTCCGATCGCCAGCTTCGCGCCGAGCTTGACCATCTCCGTCCCGGTGGTGCGTGCAAAAGCTGTCGCGCCCATCTGGAGGCTCCGGAAGATTCGGCCGTCCTTCTGGTATTCCTTGATAGGAATCTCAACCAAGTTTTTGAAGCCGCTGCCGATATTGACTAGACTGCGCACAGGTGCCAAACCAGCGAGGACGCCGGGCAGTTGATTTCTCTTGACATCAGGCATCCAGATATCGTTAAGAGTCTTGCCCATTCGATCGAATCCTTGCACACCATAGATGATGGCATGGCGTAGAGTCATGTGCGCCTGGTCCAGAATGACAAAGTTCATGAATTCTGTAGTCCGGCCCGACTTGAGTCCACCGTAATCGACTCGTTTTGGCTTGAAATCCAGTTGGACAGGGATGTCCATAATCTCAACCCTTTGTAGGAAGGGGACGTCGCTAGGGGAGCTGTGCACAGGTATCTTGTCGTCTTTGAATTCGAAGAATCGCGTAATGAAGTCAAGAGCATCCTGGTCAACGTGAAGGCGGAGTGGCAGAAGGGTGACGCGGAGGACCATCTCAGACGCAGCTAGGTCTCGATGCGGCTTGACGTTCAAGAGCTCGAGGCGAACCATACTTGTATTCATTTCCCTCTCGCCCGCATCTTGGTCATACGTCGCAAACTTCTTCCAAGTCGATGTGGGAACCATGTCGTAAACTTCCAGAGTCTGAACTCGGACGTCAATCGAGCTTTGTGTCTCTCCAGAGTCGGGAGGAAATACGATGAGGTCAAGGTTCACGCCCTGAAGTTCGAACGAGATTTTGTGGTGCTTGCTGCGGCCCAGTCGTAATCTCTTTTTGAACCTTGGTGCCCCTCCAGCTCGAGTGCCTGTAGCAGTAAATGCAGTGGTTGCCACGGACTCTGTCTCGGTATAAGTGGCATTGTCGTTCAGATCTGCGTTCACCATCTGCGCCAGATCTCTAGGATCATACTGGGCTGGGATGCCAATGTAGATGGAGTTGAAGAGATAATCTCCAATGACAGCTGTGTCATCGTCTTCTTCATCTTCATAGGTCGTAGGGCCTGCCTTGCGCCGCTCTAGTGCCTTCGTCTGGACTTCTTCCACTGTTCTTGTTATCTCATCTCGCGTTCGAGCCCAGTCATAGCCGTCGAAAAGGTGCCAGATAACGTGGACGTCGCGAACTGTGACTCGCAGTGGACTTCGCCTCACGAGATCAGCTGGTGCCTGGTCGTAGCTGTTCTGCTTCGAGTTCCAGATCCGGGCTTTGCTGTCGAGATCTTGTCGATGAGTAAAGTAGTTCTCGTCAATATCCAGATCACCACTTCCGTCAGAGACATCCGACGAACTGATGTTGAAGTTCGAATCAGATGTACGGCTCGCGTGGGCGGCAGAATTGATTGAGATGGCTGACCCTCCGGCGTCGAAGACTTCTTCCATGACATGTTCGTCTTGATATAAGCCCGAAGCAGCTGGCAACGAACCTGACTCAATCGTCACGTCGTACTCATCATCACTCCCGAGGCCCTGTGCCATTGGAAAGTCTTCGTCAAAGTCATAGGCGCCCTCGGCCCTGCCAAATGCCTCGGGTGCAATAGATGCCAGCAGGTTCTGTACTGGAACAACCTTGGTCCGATACTTGTTCTCTTTCGTTGGGGGCGTCGGGGGTGTAAGCGCGTTCACAAGAGATATAAGTGTTTGTGTCGAGTCAGCGCATGTCTCAAGAACGAGTAAATCATCGCGCATCTCTACATCCATGCGTTTTTCCCCATCAACCGGGTTCGCGGTGACTCTCACAAGCACCTTTGCCGCTGAGATGAAACAGATGTTTACATAGCCCCTCGCCGCCAGATCCGCGACTTGTTGCGAAGCAGCATCGCCTCCACGCTGGCGTTCAGTGTTCCGCTCGTCCACGGTGGCCGCCTTCGCAACATCGTCGGTGAGGAGAAGCGATGCTTTGTTGAGATGGAGCGTTGCTTGGGTGTTGACGTCTTTGGGAAGAATGACTTCCAGGTGAGCATCTGTCAGGACAATGAAAAGCTTTGAGGGCTGTTTCAAGGGGTTCAGTCCAATTAAACAATCCTTGGACAGAATGTCCACCTTCATGGGTTTACTGTTGGACTTGCTTAGGTCGCCCGATCGACGCGATACTGTCGGCTTGGTGTCTTTCGTTAAAGCGTGATGTGCTTGATCACCCAAGTTGGCTACAGACGCTGCCAGACTGGCCTCAAAGTCTTGGGGAGTAGCATCGGCACCCAGACCGAGGACATCCATGATGGTTGGCACCCGATAGTCGATGGTGATAGCGCGCATTTGAACCTTGATGACCGGTTCAATTTCATCGCCAACCATGCGCACCATAAGCACAGGGCTTGTTAGCTGAGCAGCACTAGGTGAGCTGACGAGATCCTCGCTGTCATTTCTCCTGACCGACACTGATCCAATCCCGAAAGCTATCAGCGACGGGATAGTTATCTGTGCGGCTTCAAATTCTTTCAGGTTGGCCGTAACGAGACCAATCTTACCACCAAGGTCGAGACTCGCACGGGCGTCCATAATCTTTCCCAAGGTCAATAGACCAGGCCTGTCATCTTCTGGTAGGTATTTTGCAACGATTGCCAGGCGTGCAAGTTCCTCGCCCAAGCCAGGCAGGCACTGAAGGTGCGACAGATGGCTGACTTTAATGTCAAATTGCTCCAAGTTGATTCGTAGAACAGCGCCTTTCCGCCTCTGTCTCAGCAGGGTATCGACCATGATCTCATTATCTCCTTGGTCGAACTTGGCCTTTGACGGTATGATGAGCTCAAGCAGCCGCTCCAGATCCTGGGCAGTGGGCGAGTTTTGGTAGTCGAAGCGAAGACTTCCCAGTGTCACCATGATCGGAGGATCACGCCGACCATTTTTCAGATACGGGCCGGCGAGGCGTGCTTTGCTGATGGCGAAACCCATGCCAGACGCCCTACTGACCATCTTGATCGCGCTCGTCTCAAGGCCAACGCTGCATTCCTTGCCGCGGAGCTCAAGATTGAAGCCGCCAATCCTCATGTCAACCTTGTTCAGAGAGGAAGCAGACTTGTCATCCGGATTGATAGGGGTGTCGAAACGAACGCCTCTGGGCTTCGATGGCGACTGGATCTGACTTTTGCTGGATGGCGAAGAACTTGCTGTCATGGAAGAGCTCATGTGCAGGAAACTGCTTAGTCCTCCGAACCAGCTGAAAGTTTCATCCAGCCTCCGCAAGTCGAGCTGTACAAGCAGAGGAAGGGTAGTGATTTCAGTTCGTATTGAGTCAAGCGTCTGGATGAGCTTCAGGGAGACATCCGCCCCAGGAGAAGGAAATTTATCCATGACAGATGTACGCATCTGCAGGCTCTGATCAAACGATAGAATGTCGTCGGTAGCATAGCCCAGCCGGAATTTCTCGAGATCTATACTCGTTTCCGTTTTTAAACCAGAGTTTTCGATAGAGATGGAGAGTCTTTCCAAGACGCTTTGAAGAAGAATCTCCGGTTGCAGATGTAGATCCCCAGATCCAAGAACTCGTTCTGCAGTGTCCGCAACCCCGCCCAACTGGTTAAGAAACACGAGAGATATTTTTTCGACAGCGAGCTTCACAGTGGACTTGTTTGTTGATTTTTCTTGCCCCTTCTGCGGCTCGTCAACTCGACTGAGAGCTGGTCCTCCACGGACAGCTTCTAACAACTTGCCGACGACGGTAGCCAGCAGGAAAGCCAGTGAAGCGTCAAATCTCACGTCAACCGGAGATAGGTTGATCTCGAAAGAATCATCGGCATGTGATTCAGTCGGCTTGGATGTGTGAGTCTGCGGTGCCTCACTGGCCTCCATGCTCGGAGAGGTGGAGTATACCGAGAATGCCCCAGGCACTTGCGGCGCAAAAGATCGTGCCAGCCTTGGTGACGCCGTACGTTCGAGTTGAGGGGCCGGCTGCACATGTATATGTTTGTGCATTGAGGGCACATAGATTGAGATAAGCGCAAGAGACACTATCTCCTTGACCAGTCTTGTTGGGCCGCGCGGAGTTGGAATATCTTCCTGCACCAGACCTGATGGTTCGCTGAAAAACGCGGCAGGATCCGGGGCTGATTCATCTATAGTAGTTTCGAAATTTTTGTCATCCTCCAGCTGTGCGTATATTGGTGCTTCATCTTCAGTAAGCAACTCGGACGTCCCAGGGCTGCAATATGTATCATCAGGCGGATGGACGGCATCAAATTCAGGTATAACTCGGGTGCCAGGCTCATATTTCCTCAGATCTGGCGATGAGGCTGGGCTCAACCCCGCGTCAGCAGGCAAATATGATGGGAGTTGCTGGGACGGCATTTGCTTCGACTCGGCCTGTGAAAACGCACTCATGTACATGCTCTCGGCTTCCTCGTGAGTGAAGAGCTGTGACCTAGCCAGGTCATCGTCTTCCGAGGGCTCAGTCGCAGCTGGTCCTGTTGGACTGCCACTTCTTTGTTGCGCGTCGGTTGGAACATGAAAAGAGCCCTGGAGTGGACTTGACAGCGCTTCCTCGAGCAAGTCTGGCGGCGGCTCCGACGACCACTCGCCCCATGCCAAGCCATGAGCGTTGTCGCTAGGCTTCGATGCACTATAACTGTCGGCGTGTGATCCGGGGAAATCTTCATAAATCGAAGCTCGTGGTGTGTGTGTATTCTCGTCCTCTGGTCCAGGCTCATCTGCCAAGTCATACGGTATTTGCAGCGCATCCTCACTGTCACGTAAGAGAGCCTCGTCAATTTCGTTCAGCTCAACGGAGTCTTCCATCGTATCGTTGTGATGCATGCTAGGGTGACTAGCCAAGTTATCGACATGACTGCTTTGTCGCAGATCGGTCGTCTGAAGCGATGTAGGGGGTGGTGACGGCGTGGCGCGCTCGGAGAAAGATGGGGCTTGAGAAATGGCAGGCGATGTCATTGATGGGGACCGAGAGAAACTCGAGAACACATTGGCTTCCGAGATGAGGTATGCGCGTATGCGAGACAGGGCTATATGGCGTTTCCCTTCCTTGGGCTGGATCAGAGGATCGTCCTGGTTATTTCTAGACTCCGCCGTCACTCCCTCGACATCGATCTGGTCGAGGGCGATCTGGAACGCCACGATATCAGAAGCGGCTGTGCTGTCGTCGGAAGGGACTTCGACATCGAGCTGGAAGATGACGCCTCTAATCCGGATTTGAGTGCGGTCAATGATACCTTGGAGGAAATCTGCCAGGAAAAACGGGAGCGAGAGTGCTTGGCCGGTGCCAAAGCCTGGCTCGTCTTCCTCGCTTGCGAAGCTATCCGCCGTGGCAACCGATGCTCCCAAGTCTTGGGACTCGGATGCCAGAGCTTCCTCGAGCTTCCTCTTCTCTGCCAGTGGTTGCGTCTCGAGAAACGAAGCTGCGAGATCAAGTGTATCTGGCACAACGTCCGGCTCGTCGCGCGTCTTTCTGGCTGCCCTCTCTTTATTCTTATCTTCGTCGCCTCCAACAACACTGAGACGGATGTCGACACCGTCGACCTCAATGTTTATCGGGCTCGTATAGAAGTCCATAGGAATGGTCACCGTCAGCTTGAGGACTTTGGCTCGTTGGAGCCGGAAGGCGGGGGGGAGGTTCAGCAGGCTTTCGAGTTTCTACAGGCCAAGCATGTTAGTTTTGCACCGTGGGCGGTGGTGAGGGACCCTGGAAGTTGTGCGTACCTTGAGTCTCATGCCGACATCTTTGAACTCGAAGACGGTGTTCCGGCCTAGGGCGAACTCCAGGTTCTCGATGTCGAGCGTCTCCTCTTCCAGAAGCTCGAGCTTCGACAGAGCATACCGTAGCAGCCGCTTCGGCATGGTCGAGCTCCTGAAGCTCTGGAAGAAAGTCGCCATAGTTAGACGTGGATGACTTTCCGGATGATCCACGAGGGTGTGTGCCGGGGGGGAGGGAGAGAGGTAGGTAGATCTCTTGGTCGGGTTTTGGCGGGGTTGAGCCTAGATGATGTGGTGCCGTCAAGGTTGCTGTCGCCCAGTCGTTACCACCTCAGGCCAAGCCGCAAGAGCGGCAAAAGCTTAATAGAAGGGTAGACAGCAGATGCGGTAGGTCTTGCGAAGAAAGCGAGGCTGTCGCGACGCTGTCGTGACAGACACAGGCTCCCTTAGCTGTCCCAGTGGCAACAGCCAGTGGTGTTGTTATCAGTTGACCCGCGGCCGAGAGCGGGGGTTACAGGTCATGGTGTGCTTGTCGTCATTTGGGGCGCAATGTCTTCGCAGAGTCAGGGAGCAAATGGGCGTCAAATCGCACAGCGCTTTCCCCTCGATCGCTACGTTGGCGTAGCAGAAAAGCGAGGCCGGAATGTCAATAGGTTTAGGAGTAAAACAGATGTAGTAGAGAGAGTTTGGGTCGAGGAGACCAAGGTGACATCCTGCCACCCAATTAGTGCCCCACAAGACACTCAGGCCAGTCAGTAGGAGCATGTGAGCTTGTGACTCCCTTGGCCGCGCTGTTCTGGTTGCCTCCCCCTGGCCCGCTACCAGTCATGTCTCGTAGTCACTTGACGGCAATACTGGCACTACACCACTTGACTACCTTATATTGGACTGGGCTCATGTCTGTCTGACTCTGGTTACAAGCCAAGTTGATCTCAAGTGGTCCCGGCATGGGGCCTTACAGGCGGCTGTAGGTGCCTAGGTAGGTACCTACCCAAGTGTCACCAAAACCAACTTCAGCCAACACCACACAATAAACAACAGAGCACTCCACTGGAAGATTACCCCACGACTGTTAACTAGGTAGATGCTCATCTTGAAAATGATCAGCGTCTCCCTATTGTTCTACCCGGCTAAATCATGATATTTGATGGGTACGACGAGCCCCTATGGTGCTGCCTTGACAGTTTCTCTACGCTCGTGGACCTCGCCCATGCATCTCTGCTATTCTTCGCCCGACATTCTCGCCACTCCAGTATGCCCCCGTCGCCGTGCCCAGAGCAACGAACGGCGCCGTATGCTCCCCTGCAAACCACAAGCCGCCTTCGGGGAGCCCCTCGCGCATGGCCCGAATATCGTCGTCACCCCGCCCGAGGCCCGTCTGGAAGTTGCAGTAGCTGCCGTTCCCTGCGAGATCATCATGGAGCCAATCCGTCGACAGGAAGGCTGTCGGTAAGCAATCGGCAGACGACTCGTCGTACTGAGGCAATCGAGAGTAGTATGGCTTGAAGAAGCTCCGAAGGAAGTCGTCGCGTTCTTGCTTCGTCCCCAAACTACTGACCTGCTGCGTGATGAAGCGAGACTCGTTTCCAAAGATGTAGAAGAGGAGCGTGGGATGCGAGGTTCCAAGACTTGGCGAAGCTAGCTCAACGGTCTCCTGGCTCCAACGTGTCGGATTGGACTCCAGTGCATACTTTGGGGCGAGCCACTGGCAGAAGCCTTGCAAAAAACGCCCGGTCTTATCAGGGGTCAACCAGAACGGCTGAGGAAAACTGATGTACACCTACCAATGTGTCAGCTCCAAAAGGCGGGAGAGTCTACTGCCTGTTCCCGGTCTACTTACCTTCTCCAAGCAACCATAGCCTATGGCTGCAATACCTTGCTGGAGACGATCTGGTAGCGAGGGGTGAAAGGCATCCAGGTTCTTCTTCAGCCACCCTAGTGGAGCTGTGCAGACCACATCATCGAATTCTAGGGTTTGGCCTTCCTCTGTATGGACCCGAGGCCTTGAGCAGCCCGATGTCCGGATATCGAACCTGGTGATTTTGGTGCCCAACATGATGGTCGCTTTCGCTTGGGCAGGTCTCGCGACCGTTTTCAATATCTTACGATATGTGTCAGCGCAGAACAAGGTTTCTATGGCGATGGTCAGTCTTGCAGTGCCATGTTCCTGCTCTTCATCTTGCTACCTACCGCCATCGATGCACTCCTCGAGCCAGAAGAACCTGAGGCTCTGGGTGGACACTGGACTGCCCACGAAGGCGCCCCAGGACTCGGCCAACTGCAACACGAACGCGCGGTCCTTGAGGTGATCCGATTCCGTGTCGGGAATGTGTTCTGGAAGTTTGCGACGAAAGAAGTCAAGAAGACTTTCCTCGGCAGGAATGTCAGGGCAGCGTGTATTGGAATATTCAAATGCCTCCTGAATCATCTTCCACATGATTTGAGAATACCGCTCGCTCTCCTGCCTTGCAAACAAGTTTCCATTTTCGTCAAACACGTGGGAGCTTTCGTCCCAGGTACCGACAGCTGTGCCGGTAGCTTTGGCCAGATCAAGAATAGGGTTGTCGTCAGTTCCATGGATCCAGTTCGGGCCCAGGTCAACCAAGTGGCCGTTGGGTAGCCGTTCCTGGGCGACACGACCTCCAAGCCGGTCCCGGCCTTCGATGAGCGTGACCCGGAATCCGTGCTGCAGGAGGATGTCGGCGCAACGCAGACCGGCGAGTCCCGCTCCTATGACGGCTACGTGGAGAGATTTCTCTGGTTCGTTGGCCTCGCATGCAACATTCTTTACGAGTCAATGATTCTGCTGTTTGCATACAGAGGTTGAGAGTACTGACGACACCTGGTTTCTCCATGACGAGCGGTTGGAGAGCGTGTGAATGGTCGGTTCCCACAAGGCTCTGGGAGTGAAAGAGATCCCGATAGATCCCAGACGGGGCTCGATCGGCAGTACTGGTGCAGGACGTGGGGTAAGCATCCAATTTGGTGTTGTGTTTTGTCTAGTCTCTGATAGTACAGGGGTGATTGAGGAAAGATTGCAGCTGTTCTGTGATACAGTAGTTTTGCATGCACGCGGCAGAGGAAGAAGGGCCCGGCGTGGGTTTCTGGTCTCACAAAATATGCACACTTCCGCAAACTGAGGCGACTGACGGTCGTACGTCTGGAGAGAGAAAGGCTGGAGTACATGGGGTCACAATAGACACTTGTATGAGAGAGAACTCAGTATGTCGTATTGCCCAAAAAGGGGGTGATGCCTGCAAAGTACATCCTGCTGGAATGACAATCTTGCCCACAGTGACTGACCAGGCTGAGGTGCCATGCGTCTCTTACAAGACGGAGATAGGTTTCGAGGTCACAATGGGAGCAATGAGCCCGATAGCCAGCAGCTGACGCACTGGATGGACCGAAGCCAATGCCATCCGCAAGAGACAGGCACAGCACGTGGCCATAGGACATGATGGTCAGCCACCCCACAGAGCATTGTTCACAGGCATGAAACGCAGTGATCAAGGCCTGGTCAATGATCCAATACGAAGTCATCGTGAAGCATAAAAAAAACATGCGACAACCATGGGCAGGCAACTGGGCATTGACAAGGCAAATGGGTCAGATGACCAGAAGAAAAAATGCCCACTTACAACGTAGTATGGTGAATGAACGGGCAAGTTCCTTGATGCGGTTCTGTGACAGAGAAAAGATCGGACAGGGTCGTGAAGCAGAGGCGCCTAGAACCCCAACCTTGCCATGCTTGGTGTTGTCAAGTCACGGCATGGGCGTTGAGAAGGAGGGCACACCACTGCCAAGAACTGGAGAAACCAGGGCTGGCGAATAACGTCCCCCGCAAAACCGCAAAACCGCAAAACCGCAAAAGGGCTGGCTGGCTGCGGGGTCTCGGCTAGCTCCGGGGTGCTTAGGTACCGAGGTACCACAGATTGGTGAGGCATTCGTTCTGATCCGGATGCGTGTTCAAACATGCCAACCGCACCATGAGCCTCTCGAACGCCGTCTCGAACGCCACGGCCATGATAGTACTACGCGTACACCTGTGCCTTGCGTCCGCCGGAAGGTTTACCAGCGTTACATGAGGTGTACGTTGGTGGCAGCCTCCACACACACAAACACACACCACGTGAAGCGACTACTTGTACAGTTCTTGCGAGCGCGCTGTCTTATTTGCCCCACGCCCGCTTCAGTGGAGTACTCAGGCGGCCTCATCCAATCACTAATCCCTTATTCTCAGCATGGCCAGTGCTCCCCCCCCATTCTCCAGACATGCCGAGGCTCGCTCACTCGCCGCGGATTCGGCCCTCGCCGGTCGTCCCTGTCCAGAAGTCCCGAAACTTTACATACCGAGGGCCTGGTTCGTTTTTAAATACCCATCCTTTCCATGTCTGGCGTCCCTGCCGCGTTCTTGTCTTGTGCAGCTCCGCCGCAGTTTGAACTTCCTCCCAAGCTCCCCGTCCAACCAAACACAACACCCGTCAAGATGGCTCCCTCACCCCCCACCGAAACCTACTCGCGCGACGATGTGGCCAAGAACAACCACAGCGACGCCCTGTGGACCATCATCGATTCCAAGGTCTACGACCTGACCGACTTCCTTGATGCCCACCCCGGTGGCGCCGCCGTCCTCCTCCAGGTCGCCGGCAAGGACGCCACGGCCGACTTTTACAACCTGCACCGCCACGAAGTCCTCACAAAGTACGACAAGACCCTGCTCATCGGCACCGTCGCCGGCGAGACCCCGCAGGTCGTCCAGCCCGGCCCCGGAGAGCTCTCCCAGGTCCCCTACGCCGAGCCCCTCTGGCTGACCCCGGCCTTCCGCTCGCCCTACTTCAACGACAGCCACCGCCGCCTGCAGCGCGCCATGCGTGAGTTCACAGACCGCTACGTCACCCCCGAGGCCCGCGAGTGCGAGGACTCTGGCGAGTACATCTCCCAGGCCCTCATCGACCGCATGTCCGCCGCCGGCGTCCTGCACATGCGTCTCGGTCCCGGCCCCCACCTTCACGGCGTCGAGCTGCTCGGGGGCGTCGTCGACGGCAAGGAGTTTGACTACTTTCACGACATGATCGTCAGCCAGGAGCTGTCCCGCACGGGCGCCCGTGGCTTCCAGGACGGCAACATGGCCGGCATGACCATTGGTCTCACTGTTGTGCTCAACTTTGCCGAGCCCGAGCTCCGCGACAGGATTTCCAAGGAGGTCTTCAGCGGCAAGAAGAAGATTTGCCTGGCCATCACAGAGGCCTTTGCTGGCAGTGACGTTGCTGGTATCCGTACGACAGCAAAGAAGACGGCAGACGGCAAGCACTACATAGTGAACGGCACGAAGAAGTGGATTACAAATGGTGTCTTTTCTGATTATTCTGTGGTCGCGGTACGTACCGACAAGGGCCTGAGCGTCTTGTTGGTCGAGCACGGAGAGGGCGTCGAGGCCAAGCAGATCAAGACGAGCTACTCCACAACAGCAGGCACGGCATACATCACATACGATGACGTGAAGGTGCCTGTTGAGAACCTGTTGGGCGCGGAGAACAATGGCATCCACGTTGTGCTGAGCAACTTTAACCACGAGAGGTGGAACATGGCCAGTGAGTCGCACCCACGAAACCCCCGCCCCTTTTAAAGCTGTGGTCTTTTGAATACTGACCAAGAACAGGCGCCACGGTCCGCAACTGCAGGCTCGTCGTCGAGGAGTCCCTCAAGTGGGCTAACCAGCGACTCGTTTTTGGCAAACGTCTCATCGAGCAGCCCGTTATCAGGCAGAAGCTTGCTAAGATGATCGCCCTCACCGAGGCCAACCAGTCCTGGCTCGAGACCATCACCTACCAAATGTGCAACATGCCCTACAAGGAGCAATCCAAGCATCTTGGCGGTCCCATTGGTCTCCTAAAAATGTCCACAACACGCGCCGCCCACGAGATTGCCGACGAGGCCGTCCAGATCTGGGGTGGTCGTGGCCTGACGAGGACCGGTATGGGCCGCATCATTGAGGGCTTCAACAGGGGCGTCAAGTTCGACGCCATCTTGGGAGGCGCTGAGGAGGTGCTCGGCGACTTGGGTGTGAGGCAGGCTTTGCGGCACATGCCCAAGGAGAGGCTGTAAGTGTTGGCTGAGGGCTCGGAGAAAATCCTGTACAAGACATTGTTGGGTAGATCATGCCCATGGCCAAATAGCGAATTTGTTACAACTTGCCGTAGCTGAGATGTTGATGTGCTCGAGTCGTGATCATTTTGTTGCTTCAACCGCCCCAAGGTTCCGGCTCCTTGTCGCGAGAGAACCATGGCGACTTCTGTGAGGCTGTTGAATGCTCGGGCACGCGTGCTGACCTGAACACCATGTAAAATGATCCACGTAAGCCAGGGTGGTATCGACGGCAGCAGTGCTTCCCACACCCCCGCTGTGAGGATGATCAGTGCCGTCACATTATACAAATCCACCCAGACGAGGGAGAAGGGGGTTTTGCTTACCGAGGCGAACCTCGCCTGCAACGTACAGCATCACCAGAGACAATCACCAACAACGACATCACAATTGTGCAACGCAGACTTCGCATTCCCTGTCTTGATCCTGACGGGAACCACCGTCTGGGATCATCCACCGCCGAGAAAGCAGCAGCGGGCTCTGCCACTCCCCCAACCGCCATGTCCGCCCAGGTCCGAATCCACCAGAATCGAAAGCGAGTTTCGAAAACGATCCACCCGCAAGCGTCCCCGTTTCGTTCGTGCCATCATCATCCAACGATTCGGTCATCTTGGGCCGATAGCCAAGATGTATCGTAATCGAGCGCGAGAGGTATCATGTTGTGCGTGAGAAAGAAGTCCGTGATTCATGCTTTTCTGAGACAAGAAAAACTTTTCCGTTTGTGCCGATGTCGTTTACCTGTGTGCCGTGTGGTCGTCGAAAGAGGAGGAGACCAGTATACATAGCTGTCATAATAAACAGCGCTCGTCGGAGAACTAGAGTCCGTGTCGCGGCGAAGCCAAAGCAATGGCTTTCACAACGAGCATTCATTCTTGCTGTCCATTCCGGACAGAAGTTGACTCTTCACCGACAAGTCTCAGTCCCTTAAGCGGAGGGGCACTGGGACTGGATGTGACCGGGCTGCTGGCACTTGTAGCAGATCTTGTCACCACCCTCACCGCCCTTGGGGCAGTCACGAGAGAAGTGGCCGTTCTCGCCGCAGTTGTAGCACTTGGAGCCGTTGGTGCAGTCACCTGTCCTGGGTCAGCGAACACATTCAGAGATAAGAAAGCACTGAACCTACGAGACATGTGACCGAAGCCACCGCACGAGTAGCAGGTCTTGGGAGCACCGTAGCCGCCACCACCAGAGTAGCCACCAGCACCACCGCCGTAGCCGCCGCCGAAGCCGCCGCCGGCCTTGGGGCACTGGCGGGCCATGTGGCCGAGCTCACCGCACTGGACAGCGTATTAGCAAGGATGGGTCACGGCGCGGAGAAGACAGAAAACATACCTTGTAGCACTCACCACCACCGCCACCGCCACCACCCATGGAGCCACCAGACTGGGGGCAGTCACGGCTGATGTGGCCGGGCTGGCCGCAGCGGTAACAGGACTTGTTGTCCTTGGGGCCGTCAGGGCACTCACGGCTCAGGTGGCCCTCGTTGCCGCAGTTGTAGCTATTCATGGTGAGCAACCAAAAGCACAAGTGTTGGTGAAGGCGACTTACCACTTAGCGGGACCCTTCTGGGGGCACTCGCGGGCCTTGTAGAGGTTAGTGGATGGTCTTGCCAGTCATAGCGATCGTCTGTGATCATACCTGGTGGCCAACGACACCGCCTGAACGAACCATTAGTGTCTGCAACTTCTTCAGGAACTACACGTGCTAGGACTTACAGGTGTAGCAGGTGCGGGGAGCGGGAGCAGAACCCTGGTAATCCATTGTGAAGATTGTTGAGGTGTTTGGTTCTGATTATCAAAGTCAGCGGCCGTTACTGAAGAAGAAATGTCGCCAAGCAAGACAATGATTGCATCGGGAGGAGACCCCAAAGCGTGCGACGACAGCATATTGGCTCGCATCGGACCCAAGCGGACAAGTGTTCCGGCCCAAAGGTCTTTGAGGAGGCGATCATGTTGGGATTTTGTAACAGTCCGCGGCTTGAATCACTTGAACCAGGCGGCATCCGGCACGCTTCCCTAGATGAACGAAAGAGGTGGGGAAGATGTAGGCTATCGTTGTCCGACATACTTAGAGGTGGCTGGTGACTGTGAAAGAAAGTGGAGAGGAAATCCAATGCCCGTGACTTGAGTGAAGAATGGCGAGATGGTTTATGAGGGGGTCAGGATGGGTTTTGGTGTGAGAGAAAAAAGTTGGTGGGCGGTGGTGCGGCAAGGAAAGAGGCTGAGATGGGTAGGAAGAAATAGCAAAGGCAGGCGGTAATAATGTGGCAGGAGCGAGAAAGCAGTTGCATGCACAGGACTGCAGTAGCAGGTGCAGTGGCAGCAGGTGCGGCATGAAGTGGCATGAATTTCTTGAGTCTCTTCAGACCGCCTGGTGGATCGATTCCTGGAGGCTGCTTCCCATGCCATGCCTGGTTTGCTTGGTGGGGTGGGAGAAAATATTGGCTGACATGGCAGGGCAGGTGCACTGGACGCCAGTATCCGCGATCCAGGCATGTCGACGTGCTTGTCCAACGCAATGCAGTACGTGACCGCGAACGCAACATTGGGGGTGTAAGGTAGAAGTACAAGCCAATTCCAGTAGTAATAGTAATACTGAAGCGAGCGAGGGCAAAGGGACAAATCGGCGGGGGGGTTGTAGAAAAGGGATCTTGATCAGATCTGATCGATGATGCCTGTATCAAAGGATACTGGGGCCAGGTGACAAGACGGGAACATGGTAGCAAGAAGTCCACTTACAGGTGGGTTGGGTGTGAGGTTGTAGGATGTAGAGAACGACTCGATGAATTGATCGTACTCTTGGGTATCTTGCTTCTCAGACGTTCAACAGGATCGGGAGGTGAAGTGGTCAGGCGGGAAAAGTGAGATCGGGCAGTCCTTTGTAGGAAAAAAACAGAGATTTAGTCTGTAGTGGGGTATCCTGGCAGGCCTGGGCGGGCAGCCCGCCTTCCTTGTCCACGCGCCGTGTGATGCGCCGCGGTACAGCGTTCTCAAAATCGCCGAGGGACTCCTCTAGCCCTCGTTCTCGCTTCCACTGGGAGGAACAGACTGGAGCCCAGCTGGTCCCTTGCAGAAGTGCGACCTCACACTGTCCGTTTTCGCCCCCTTCTGCAGCAAGACCCATCAAACCGCCACCAGTTTGCCACAAGGGACAGTGGCAGTATGAGAACACGACACTGGTCTGCCCCGCCATTTGCGGTGAAGACCCAGTGAAGACCTACCAAGTATGTACGTCGCAACATGAGCTTGAGAAGCCCCCAACCATTTAATTACTGATGATCTCTAACAACTAACTGTGGAAAGAGACTAGTACACGTGCTATTTCAGAGCACATGCGCCACGCATCATGTTGATCAAAATCGGTGGCCTCTGTCAATGGTTTAATCAATCAGGCCTTTCAGCAGCGTCGAGGCTGTCCGAAATGTTGCCATCAGCACGATGGACTCAAAGAACCAATCGGCAACGGCGGAAAAGCCTTCACACGATGAATATGGCTTTTGACTTTTCCCTCCCATTTTAACGGTTGCGAGGGCCAAACCCCAGACAGAGACATGCGGCTGAACACGAAACCAGCCCGGCCAAGTGGTAAAACTAGGGTCCTTACCGGCTAGCACCGCCGTTCTTTTGTGATCCATCGTACGAAACGTGCTCTATCGACGATGTCCGATCACGAAGGACCACCAATGCATTTCCCAAGCAAAACATCACCCGGTCGAAAGCAGCCCTGTAGTCTCGTGAATGGCTTAGCGGCACACGTAGGACCCATCAGACTTCAATGGGCTCGGTCTTCGCCCAGGTTGGTGAGGGGCCCATGAACGCGGGGTGCGCTTGGTGGGGCACCTGGGCCACCTGTTGACCTATCCTCGAAGGATCTTGGAAGACTTGACTGTGCTTCAATGTCAGGGTTTAGAGGCCTTGAATCGTAAGAGAAGCCTTCTGGTGGCGAATGATTGATAGACATAACCAAGCTGCGAGTTCATACAGTGAGATATGTGACAATTGGAGATCATTCTGTAATACAGCAACGCATTGAGAGAGGCGGAGGTGAAACTGTCACAGGCTGTCAAGTCACAGTGGGTGGGGTGTCCATGATCCACGTGATGTGGCGCGCCACGGTTCGCCTCAACGCGTCAGAGCTCTATTGTGTGTGTGTGCATCGCGCCTCGATTGCTGGATGACTTGCTGACAGCCCAACACGACGAGGTAGGCGCAATCATGGCGAGCTGGTTCGAGAAAGGCCGTCCCGCCATCTTGGAGGCCTTGACAGCTGCGTGTAACCAGATCGATACGGATCTTCGGGCTGGTGAGTCGTCCCTGACCACACGGCTTTCAATTCCGGCTGGCTGATGACGATGGTTACAGAGCTCAATGAGCAAGAACGAAGGCGCAAGAATGGACTCGACGAAGAGCTGGAGTTGTTGAAGCGGCGCTCCGCGACTGTCGATAGCCTTGAGGCTGAAAACCGCCGTCTTCGTGCGGACTTGTTGCGGTATCAGACAGAGTCCACACCTGCCAGCAGTGTTCCCAGAGGTGTCGCGCCTCGACCCACGACGGCAAGCAGTTCGCCCAATCCACGAAGCGAATCGCCCATGGCTACTTTGGACACGCCATCAAAGCTACCCATCGAAGCCTCGGAGTCGAGAAAGTCTCTGCTTGTAAAGAGCCATCAATTGCAGAAGAAGTTTGATGCCCTCGATTCGAACTACAGGCGACTGATGTCGGCATATAACAAGAAGAAGGACGAGCTAAGCCGTCGCGAAGGGCACATCACTCAGCTAGAGGCGAAGATTGAGGCGTTACAGCACCAGGTTCATAGGGCCGCCATGGCTGCGCACGACGACGATGGCGATGATGGTGCGCTAGCTTTCGAGCCGAGTAGGGCGACCAGAGCCTCCAGTCATGTACCACCCAGCGCTCCGCCTATCGATGCGACCGCCAGTGTCAGCTTTTCTTCAGAGCCTGGAGTGGATGCGGGCACAAGAGAGCTCTGTGTCACCCGAGAAATCCCACCACTGTCCCGCTCCACGACCTCCGCGAAGGCGTCTCCCGCTGAAGACGAATTCCCGAACTTTGCTCCAATCTGTGCTGAGGTGGAGCTGCCGCCTTTGCCACGCCCAGCTGATCCTGTCAAGACGCTGAAAATTAAAGTCGAACCTTCGTCAGACGGTCCGATACTTGTGATGGAGCGAGCAGTGGCAAAACGAAAGAGTGCGGCCACAACCGAGGAGCCGCCTTCGCGTCGTGTCAAGACCGAGTTCTCGCGATCTAGTTCTATTGCCGATTCGGGCCAGAACCTAGTACTGCACCAAGACAGTCTTGACCTTGATGAGGTCGGCCGAAAACTAAGTACGCCACGGAAGAACAGGTTCATAGCCGATGCTCCTGAAGCTGCTACCGGACATGCTGCCGGGTCGAGGACGCTCAGCAATGCAGTTCTGATACGGCCGGATGATGGCGATTTACGAGCGACGAGGACCGTCTTGCCCTCCTCAGCATTGACGCCCATCAACCCCAATGCGCGCACGATGAGACCATTGACAACCAAGTCTGCGGGCAAGGTTCCTACCAAAGGGCTGTCACAAGGAATAGGATCCTTGGCAGAGGACGGCAACCTTTATCAGAGGGCGGTTCGGAAACAGGCTAATCGGGATTCGGTACAACCCCCCCGAGGCGGTAGTCGTCTGAATAGGCTTCTGAACACGCCGGGTTCTGGGGAGAAGCCAACAGTCGTGCGTTCTGCTCCTCGACCACTGCGCTCTGGAGCCGATACTACCCTTGCCCATCTCGGGGCACCCGGGCGACGGGAGCTGCCGTTCGGACGGCAGAGCGCAGGTCGGTCTTCCAAGGAAGGCAGGAACAGGGCCGCTGCTACCAACCTACAGCGACAGGTGGAGCAAGGCGAGGACAAAAGGCAGGAAGACCAGGTTCGAGGGTCGCTGCGCTTGAAACAGGCAGCAGATCTTCGTCTAGAAGATTTCAAGGTGAACCCCAGATTCAACAATGGGCAAGACTACGCCTTCTCCGAAGTGATCCGCGGCAAAGATGACCGAGCTTGCTTGCCTGGCTGCACCGACATGTCGTGCTGCGGCAAGCAGTTCCGCGGTCTGGCGTTAGCCCAGCGCGGAAACAGCAACGTTGCGGAGGACACGAAGTTGTTTGAGAAGTTTCTCGGCGACGGCATCAGTAGGATATGGGGCATGTCCAAAGAGGAGAAGGAGGAACTGTGGGTAGAAGCAAAAACTTGGGAGCTGGCTGAGCAGATGGGCAAGCACCGTCATAGGTACGCGCGAAGGGCTTCGCCTCCAGGTTTCTGGAACACGGAGTTTCCGAGCACGCAGGAGGTGGAAGCAGAGAAGGCAGAGGCAGAGAAGAGGCAGAGGCAGATGGCTGTTGATCGATACAGAGAGGCTATGAGGCCAGGGGGACGGTGGGTATTCCGAGACGAATGAGTGTTACTACGAGACAGGCGGACAGACAACTAGAAGAGCAATAGTGGATGGATTGGCCCTGAGCTTGGCCCTTAGCTAGACGTAATGGCATTTCCGTCAGAAATAAGTTGATGGTGTGAAAGAGGAAAGCGCAGCTAGACAATACGGCGTGGTCAGTCAGTTGTCTCCTTGCCTGCTCCGTCACAGGAGGCTCTTGGAAACTTCGTGCAACAGAGGGTCCGTGCGTCACAGAGGACTCTGGGATCATGTCGCACCGCGTCTGACTAATCCTCGGCTCTCCAACTTTCCTTCCACCAGTGCTCTGAACCAACCGGCGAACGGTAATTTTTCGACCGCCAACCCAGCTCGCGGTTCCCTCCCGGACACGCTTGCTCCCTCCCACTCGTGCAGCAGTCTGTCACGGCCATCCCCCCCCCTCTTTTACCCTTCGTGCAGTACCTTTATTCAGAAAATACTTTGAGTTTCCTCATCGGCGGTGATCGCGGTGACCACAGTCATTTCTGAGCTTTGGCAACAGCATCAGAGGCGGCACGCGGCACGACCCGTCAGCTCTGGGGGGGCATCTTGCATAATAATCACCTCCTGCGACGACATCCGATCGCGGCCATCCACCACGGCACCCAAACATCAGCTCGACAAGTACCTGAAGTGCACCTTCCTGCGAACTGCTGCCTTTGTCTGATCTCTCTCATCAACGGCGCGCGATACCGAACCGAGCAGTGACGGTCCTCGCGGTGGACAGTCACTGCCCATACGCGACTCCCACGCCGGCAGGATGAGCCATCGTCATCTGCCGGCTGGGCAACCCATGCCGGGGGGTGGAGCGCCAGCGGCGAACGGTGCTGGCGACATGGGCCCTGTGCCTGGCCATGGCGCGCACATTGTTCACGGCGGACATGGTGGGCATGGAGGACACGGAAACTCGAGGAGACGGCCGCCGCCGCCTTCCTATGTTCCGCAGTATCATCAGCAACACCATCAGCAACACCAACACATCCCGCCCATGTACCCCAACTACATGAACCCCTATGCAGGCGGCCAGCAATTCTACCAGCAGCTGCCGCCCCAGTACCAGAATGGGGGCATGCCCACTGCCTACATGCAGCACTACCAGCAGCCATACATACGCTCGCCTCCGGCTATGCAGCAATTTGTCCCCATGGCTGGCGTCAGTGTCCCTCAGCCTTACCCTCGGCAGCACCAGCAGTCTCCTGCTCTCGCGACTCCCTACCAGCCTCCTCCCATGCCCTCTGCCATTGCGCCACACACGCCCACTTCGACACACTCGTCCCATATCATGGCAGAGCCGTCTGCCGTCTCTTCCGCGTCACCTGCGACATCCCAGATCGAACAGGGGCACGCGCTCGCCCCTGCCCAGGAGGAGCTGGTCCAGCCAGAAACGGCCGCGCCTGCCCCTCCTGTGCGACAGCCCACTCCGGAGCCCCCTCAGCCTAAGGAGCCTTTCCGAGCACCGGTATGTTGATAACCCACGCACGCCCTCATGATCCAGAGCCGCTCTTCTGATGGCCCCCGCAGCTTCCATGGCTTTCTCAGCCCGATCTCGATTTCCCCAAACGCACGCGCGTCAAGCGGCGCAAGCGAGCGCCTCTAGTCTCGGCCGACAAGGGAGTCACACTCCCTAGCGATGTCAATGGTCCCCTGAGCGAGTCAGCCGACCACGCCTCTACAGATGCCGCCGTCACGGACGAGTCGCAGGTATCAGCTGGCACGGCATCCACAGTCTCGGCGGTCTCGACTCCTGCGACTCCTCATGCCAATGCTGCATCGACGTCTCATGATAACCCAACGGAGATCTCGACCCAGAACAAGAGGCCCGTCACAAGCGGTTCCGGAGCCTCCACCTCGCAGAGCCCCGCCCCTTCATCGTCACGCCCCATCGTACCCGTTGTTCCGGCCATCCCCAAAGGCAGCCCGAAGACTACCAAGACAAGCGCCGAAGCGTCCTCCGAGGTTGCCAAAGCACCTGTTGCCCAGGACGCGCCGAGCGAGATACCTTCCGTCGGTGTCCCGTCCCAGGAGAAAGCCCAACAGCCGAGTGAGGAGGCTCCCAAGTCTACCCCACGCGCACCACCGTCAAGCTGGAGTGCCCTGTTCGCAAAAAATGCTGCTGCCGCAGCAGCTGCCAAGAACCGGAACGCTCAGAACGGCTCAGCCGGTCAAGGGACCAACGGTACTTCTCCTGACGATGCGGACAGGCCATTCGACTCTACCTTCCCTTCTGACAACAGCGTGAACACAATTGCTGCGGCGCTGAGAGCATACCGTGTTCGCAACCCCGAGAAAGTCAAGTACGTTGAGCCAAGGGGCTTGGTCAATATCGGGAACATGTGTTACATGAATTCTGTAGGTATTTCCAGTGGTAAAGGTGGTCATGGCCTGTGCTAACACAGTCAGGTCCTTCAAGTTCTTCTTTTCTGCGTGCCTTTTTACGACTTCCTGGACCAAATTAGCGAGAAGGTCCCTTTGAGTTTCAAGAGCCAAACACCCATCCTGGACGCAATGTAAGTTGAAGAGTCCCTCGTCATGACTGTCCCATATTGACGAGTTCTAGGATCTTGTTCATGAGGGAATTCCAAGTGATCAACTCTGGCGACTCGGCAGCCAAGCTTCGAAAGCTCCTGAAGAACGAGGAGCTCGAACAGTACGGAACTTCATTCACTCCCGAATTTATTTACCAGGCCATTGAGCCTGACAAGCGTTTTGAAAATATGAGGGTAAGTCTCTTCGTCTCGCCCTGAAATAGCCAGATCACTGACGACTCGCAGCGTGGTCATCAGCAGGATGCCGAGGAGTTCTTTGGTCTTCTTCTGCAGTCTCTTGATGATGAGTGCGCCAAGGTGATGGGCGTCGCTTCTGGCAACGCCCCTCATCCTGCGCCGGCATCGGCGAACGCAGACGCAACCGCAGACGGCTGGCTTGAAGTTGGCGCCAAGCAGCGTGCCGCTGTGACACGTTCGTCCGGGGCCAGCTCGTCGACCCCTATTACCCAGATCTTCGGCGGCTTGTTGCGATCCGAGTTGCGCGTCACTGGCAAGCAGGACTCGATCACGACAGAACCGTACCAGGCTCTACAGCTTGACATTGGAGCAAACGATGTCAGGAACGTTGTAGATGCTCTGAAGAGGCTGACGGCGCATGAGAAGCTCGAGGGCTCTGGATTCAACTCCCCACACGGAAAGAACGCAACTGTTGTCAAGCAGACGCTGATCGACACACTGCCCCCAGTGCTCATCCTGCACCTAAAGCGCTTCCATTTCGATGCTGAGGGCGGCACCACAAAGATCTGGAAGAAGGTCGGCTATCCCCTCGAGCTCGAGATTCCCGTGCAGGCTCTCGCCAGGCAGTGGCGGGCCAGTAACAAGGGAGGTGAGGGGCCCAAGTACAAGCTCATCGCTGTCGTGTACCATCACGGCAAACATGCCAACGGAGGTCATTATACTGCAGATGTAAGACGTCAGGACGAGCATGAGTGGATTCGCTTGGACGACACTGTCATTCGACGAGTCAGGAGCGAGGACGTGGCCGAGGTTGGTGAGGAGGAGGCTGCAAAGGCGACGACGCAGGGCTCAGGTTCTCGCGACGTCTCGGCGAACAGGTTTGGCGCCATGAACGATGACGATGCTGGTGATCGTGGCGAGTGGACATCGGTGGACAAGACCAACGGAAACAAGAACCGCTGGAGTGCCGTCGCCAACGGCGCTGCCTCGCAGTCTCGTGGCAAGCAGGTCAAGGAGAGTGTGAAGGATAACAAGGTGGCATACCTACTCTTCTACCAGCGTGTCTAGGTATCCTATCACACGTGGCGTTGGGGAGGGGGAATTCGGTGTTCAGGTCTCGAGGCCGCGGACTGGCAGGCTCGCCTTGGTTTCTATCTTCTTGGCGATGGCGCCTGGTCATCGTCTTGGAAGCAGCAGCCCTGATTTCTCTTTGGGAAGGGAGGGGCTTGGTGTGCGCAAGGATAGGGACATTTGGGTTGCTGAACGAGGCTCGGACGACGAAGGCGGCGACGAGGTTTGCGATGCAACCCGTCGCTACGGTGTCCTCTGCTATCAACTTATATCAGGCGACGGGGGACGCTTGAGTACTGCTTGGGGGCTAGGGAGGACTGACAATGGATAATCTGTGTCGAAAAGAGTCGGGTCAGGTGATGGCAATCAAAGGTCCAAACCGCAGGGCTCAGTTCTTGTAGCAATAAGTCACTTGTAACATAAGAGCATGTTGAACATATTTTGCTGAAGGTGTTAATTTCTTCGTGATGTTGGTGATTGTTTGGTCAGGGGGACCAGCAATCCCACATGCCCCTCAAGTGTGGAGTCACTGGTCTTGATGTTCACTCCCCGTCAGGTTTGGATAACCACTCATCATCACTACCACCACAACTGCAGCAACAAGACAAGCGGCAAACGCAACCGTCCTGCCAAACACGTCAAGTAGCTCGGCAATCTGTCCAGATAGCCCATCATGTCCATTGCCGACATCCCCTCCCCCCTGCCGACGTATCTCTACAAGATCATCCCCACGGCGCCTCCCGCCACGCTTCCCCAAGAATGGCCCCTCTCTGACCTTGACCGCAAAGACGGCTACATCCACCTCAGCACGGCACGCCAGGTATGGAAAAGCGCCTCCTTCGTATCATCTTCTCTACTTTCCGTTGCCGCCCGGGGTTTATGCACGCCCCAATGCCCCCCCTGCCAGGCTACCGGCTGACAGTGGGCGCGTGCGCGCATCCCACCCACAGGTCCCCGTCACAGCGGGCCTCTTCTTCAAGGAGCACCAGTCGCTCTGGGTCCTCAAGCTGCGCCTGGCGAGCTTCGCGGCGGGGAACCTCCGCTGGGAGGCCGCCGGGTCGGACGTCTACCCGCACCTGTACGGGCAGAACTTTGGCGCGGCGGAGATTGTCGACGCCCGGGAGCTGCGGCGCGGCGAGGCGCAGGTATGGGGGATTGCGCTGGAGGGGGAGGTCTGGCTCGAGTGAGCTTGCGGGCGAGCGACCTACTGACGGCAAGCTGAACGGTGTGTTTGGCAGGCCGCTTGTGGCCTGACAGCGCGGGGTGTTCAAGGACAGAGTCACGGGTGTAATGCGAGAGTGCGAGGAAACAAAATAGGAGAAGCAAACTTGCGCGTTTTTGGTGATCCGTTTATTTCCCTTCCCTGTCCCTTGGTATAAACTACAGCAGCTCTAGACAATCAAGTCTGCTCTCCCCTAGCCGTCATATGATACAGCAAAGCAAGCAAGTCCCCCCTCTGATTGTCGCTCAGATCAACGGCCCCCCCAATCCTATCGTCGTCGTTTCACACATGAACGAATCTCTGTTCTCAACCACAACAGGTTTTTCAGATGGCTCATCCGCGCACTTCTAAAACGCGGACGCATTGTCCGCCTCGGCAAGCCACAGTTTCGACAGATCCTTCGACAATCCCAGACGCAAGATCCGCAGAACGTCCTTGCTCGTCGCGCTGGCGAGGAGGCCGCTGCGCCAGTCCCAGCCGCGCCGGACGTTGCTCCCAAACTTGACACTGCTGCCGCCGCTGACCGAGCGATGCAGTTGGCTCGCGAGCATCGAGCTGCCATCCATGACATACGAGCTGGAGCCGCTGAGGCCGCCCGTGCTCTTGCGCATGAGGTCGTGCGGGGACGAGCCCTTGAGTCCTTGCGCCGAAGCGAGGACGAGCTTGAAGTAATCGTCGGCAGCGTCGAAGACTGTCGGTGAGACCGTCTCGATGTCCTCGACTGCTTTGAGAAGAGTGTGTATCTGGTCGAGAGTGATGATGGCCTCAGATGATCCCTGGTTGATGAAGGGAAGAGCCTCGCCAAGGAGGGCAAGGAGGAAATCCTCACTGACGACCGCGTCTCTTGACTCGTCATAGAGCCCACCGCGGATGTTGTCATCAGAGCTGGCGACGACAGCCACAAGGGCCGAGGCAGCCTGTCGACGAATGTTCAGAGACTTGTACGAAGACATGTTGGCGAGACCTTCTGTGTCGCGTAGCTCGTAGAACTTGCGGAGAGTGGCGTAACCGCTGAGCATGCGGCCGAGAAGCTGCGCAGCCTCGAGGTCTTGCTTGGCGTACTGCTCGAGTGTTTGCGAGCGCTCCGTAAGGAGTCGATGGAGATGGTCGTCGAGATCATTTGTCGGCGGGAACACCGTGGACTGGAGCAGGGAGTAGGACATGAGCAAGTTGAGCACCTCGCGAACCTTACCGGGTCGGTGCGCAAGCGCATAGTACCAGAGAGCCTCGCCGTACCGATGCGAGTCCTTCGCCAAAGTCTCGGCAAAAGTCTGAATGTGTTAGCGGTGGATTGTTGACGCCCATAGCAGCGGGGAATTCCTTACCTCTGCTACTTCCTCTGCGTACTGGATCATGCCGAGCTCGTTCACAATATGCCACACCTTGTCGACAGTCGTGCTCGAGTCAGAGTCGATAGTTTCGAGAATGTCGCGAAGTAGCTCGCCGACCATCTCCTCCGATCGATCAGCAGAGTCCATCCGCCCGAGCACCTGGATCGCCATTTCCCATCCATCCCTCTGTTTAGTAAAGTGGTCCAGCCCTGCGAGCTCGCGGGCATAGTGAATCAGCGTCGTATCTTTGATCCCCTCAACGTCGTCCTTGTTTTGTGGTGACACTCCTAGGATATCGAAATCCTCCATATCCAAGCTTTGAAGCGCAATCAGGTTGGGTGCCTCGGGTTTCGGCAGCCACTGTCCAAGGGACGCAAGCTCGGCCACGGCAGATGCCACAGGCAGAGACCACGCCCGCAAGAAACCGACGACAGCGGTGTAGTTGCCCTCCAGCGTAGAGACGAGCGCCACCTCGACGGGGTTCATGGCATTGAAGTGGAAGTTGGATTCCACAACGGTGTGGATGGCGATGGCGAGGCGCTCGAAATAAGCGTCAGGGCCCGGCGAAGGGGCTGGCAAGGCCAGCGCCTGGGAGCGGGAGCGGGACATTCGGAGGCTGACGTCGTGTCCGTGGTTCCTCTCAGCCTCCCACCAACCGAACATACCAACCGCCGCCTCGCACCAGTCTTGCGCCGTGTCGAGAATGGCATCTGGCACACCCAAGGCGATCTCGTATATTGTCTGAAGGTGCTCGTAAATGTCCCAAGGCACTTGGCTCTCGGCCTTGCGCGCCATGCTGGCCAGTGAGGGGCCATGATGAAAGCCATCGTCACTGCCATCGACAAGCACGTCCCTCTCCTTGCCCTCTGCAAACCGCTGGAGCTTGTCTAGGGAGCCCTTGGCCTGGATTCGGAACAGCGTCCAGTCACTACTGAAGATATCCCAGTTGTCCTTGGTGGCTGGGCACATGCTCAGCATGGTACAAGTGATGCTGACAGCGCGCTGGACATTTTCCAGAGTCTTGCCCTGATAGGCCTTTTCTCCGCGGCCCCTTGTGACGGCCTCCCACGCTCCGCCCCTAAGAAGCTCAATGGCGCCATCCACATTACCACGCATGAGGGCACTGCCGACGGTCTGCCAGTAAAGGCCATGATTGGCTGGGCTAGGCCTGTGCCGCATGACGTCGTGGTGTTGGTCAGGATACATGTTGTGGTTGTGAGCGGCCCAGTCGAAGAGAACGCCGGGCAGGGGTTCAACGTAGGAAGCATCTGGCCCGACCAAGCGAGCATTGTGGAGGCGGAGCACCAGTTTCGCGACAAATGCCGCCTTGCGAAACGGCTCGTCATCGTCGCCTGGGCCGACCTCTGCCGTGTGCTCGCTGTCTAACATGGGGAGGCTGTCGGCGTAGTCGTCCCACAGCTGGATCAAGGGCTCGCACATGAGCGACAGGGCACTGTCCAGCTTCTCGGGGTCTTCCTGGGCGCCGATGCCCTCGTCGTAGAGCTTGTTGATGGTGTCCTCCGTTTTGCTGATCAGCTCGGGGGCCTCGGAGAGCTGGGCGAAACCCAGGTCAGTGTAGAGGTTCTTCGCCATGGAAGCGTACTGGAAGTCTGTCCTCGAGCCGGCCGACGAGCGCTGTCGGACTGATGCGCGGAAGATGTCTCGGGCCTCCTTCCTCATCTGTTCGGTAGCGGCAGGTGTGACGAGGTCCATGAAATCTGTCGCCTCAGCCAGATCCTCTTCGTATTCGTCGTCGTCGCCTTCGGCATCGTCGTAGTCTTGGTTCTGCTGTTGGCGAGCCCGCTGGTGCATGTCTAAGAACATGTCTGTGTCTTCCTCCCCTTCTTCATCGTATTCCTCTTCATCCTCTTCGACGGAACCTTCCTCGCTCTCGTCGTCCATGTCGGCTTCCAGGATGCGCTTCATCTGTTCGTCAGCCTCGGCCACTTCGTCGACCTCCTCTTCCTCCTCTTCGTCGCTCTCCTCGTCGCTGGAGATGTGATAGGTGCCGGTCTTGTTCGTGGTGCTGCGCGTCGAATCGGCAAAGTCGTACTCCCTGCTCAGGGCCGACGGCTGCCTCGCCGACCTCGATGGCCCTATGGACCGGCCGAGGGGTTGCTGCGGCGAGTTCTGGGCGCGACCGAAGAGGTTCTTTGTCGAGCCGGCCGTGCTGTGGCCGCCAAAGGAGGTGGGCTTCTGGCCAGTCACTCCGAGCATCATGGAGCTGCCGAGGTATGATTCGGAAGGCGCGCCGGCGGGTGTGAAGGACGCGGCAGACGAAGGGGGAGGAGGGCCGGCCGGGGTCGTCGAGGGGTTCTCGCCGAATTGGAAGGAGCCAGAGCCAAAGTGCGAGCTCCTGTCGGGGGTGGACGGCGCCGGGCTATCATCGGGGAAAGAAAAGGTAGGCATGGTGTGTGGTGGAACGGCCCCTGGCCGTGTTGCTGTGGTCGGGAAGACCCTAGTTGTGTCGAATTAAGAGGTACCCAAGTAAGGTACCTGAGGAGGTCCGCTTGGCTGATGAATGGCAGCGATCGCAATTGTTTATTTTGGCACCATGGAAATGAAAAGGAAAGAAAAAAAAGAGCGTCGAGATGGCGGGGGGGTTGTGAGCTTGTGCGCGATTGATGTGTGGGTGCGCTGTTGGTAGTTTTCGTTGTTGGGTCAAACGCGCCTTGGGGATAAATTTTGGAGGTTCGCGATCACAGCTGCCGTCCTGTCGACCGGTAGGTAGCCTTGACCGGCCAACGCTGGAGCCACAAAGCTCACTGTGAGGACGGGACCCATGGCTGCCAGCTGGTGTGCGTTCTGGCACTGCGTGACACTGGCGCCTCTGGCTGAGCTCCCATGGTCCGATGGTCCGAGCGCACAGGCAGACAGACAGACACAGGACCAGGACCCTACGACCAACGGAGACTCAACCGCCCTCGGAACGCACGCACGGAAGACGGGATATGTACGTTCCATGGAGCGCTCCCCGGAGGCCCCGAACTCAACTGCCGGATCCAGCTTGTCATGATGCTGCAACAGCCGAATGGCAGTGACTCGGCTAAAGATCCATGTTGCGGCTGCTTCCTGCTTTCTCTGCGTGTCGTCTTCAATGAGAGTTCAGACGCTCGCTCACACGGCACACACATTTCAGTATGTAGAGCCAAGCCCAGCGATATTTGTTTCGGGCATGTGTGTAAGAAATAATTGTCATCTCAGTGGTTGACAAGATCACCAATGCTTTCCAACACCCGGGCATTCCACGTCCAACTACACACTCTGCCAGTCTGCATGCCTTTCAATCAGATGGAAAGCACAGAGTGGAAAGCACAGAGAGGCATCCGATTGCTAGGGAACATAGCCCCCAACGAGCACACGATTGTTGCTCGGCGTCGCCCGGCTTTCGGGGTATACGTGAGACCAGGGAGCGCGCTCGCCGTTGACTCCCGCATGACAGCTTTCGGGCGTCAGGTTGTTCGCCGAAAAAAAACACAAAGCGCGAACACGACCCAGACAAGCCAGACCACCATGTCTTGGCATGTCAGTCGGCCTTAGCTTCGGAGATTGTGATACGCTGCAGCTTCCTGTCCAAGCTGCAACATGCAACACCGGAGAGGAGGGGCTGGAGAGGAGAGGGGAAGCGGGAAGCCATCACATCGTTATGTCGTCGAAGAGCTCAGGGCGTGACGTAACTCTCCGAACTCCCGAGCTCGCACTTTCCTCCCCCCTTCCTCCCCCTCTTCACCTACCTCGTTCGCCCTGCCGACTCGGCAAGGTGGGGTTCCAGCGGTTCCGCTGGTGACCACCACAAAAGCACTTGGTTGATCTGGTTCCCCTACCCCTCCCAAAGCTATCGCGACGTCTGTTGCTGCATCCTGTCTCTGCTGCCATCTACAAGAACCTGGCTAGCGGCACACGCAAAACACCATCAAGGTCCTCGCCGTTCTCCCGTCTCACCAAATCCCCCACACCCTTCTCCCCCCATTCGACCGTCGCACACTACTAAAGAATCATGTCGTCCACCGAGGGCAAGGTACGTTTTTCCCCTCAGCTTCTCCTCAGCTCTCCTGACCTCCCAATCCCCCTACCCCTCCTCTCCACCGGACCGACCTCCAATGCGAACGCTCAGCTGCGGTTTAGCTTCCTGTGCGACGGTGACTAACCAGGCCATGACACGAGCAGACGATCACTTGCAAGGCCGCCGTCGCCTGGGAGGCCGGCAAGGAGCTGAGCATCGAGGACATTGAGGTGCTTCCTCCCCGCGCCCACGAAGTCCGCATCCAGATCTACTACACCGGTGTCTGCCACACAGATGCCTACACCCTCTCCGGCAAGGACCCCGAGGGTGCTTTCCCCATTGTTCTCGGACACGAGGGTGCTGGCATCGTCGAGTCCATCGGTGAGGGCGTGACCAACGTCAAGGTCGGCGACCATGTCGTCGCGCTCTAGTACGTCTTTTTTTTTTCTAGCCCGTTCATCGAAAGAGTGACACATGTCTACACTAAGATCACGACACCCGCTGACCACATGGGTGCCACAGCACGCCCGAGTGCAAGGAGTGCAAGTTCTGCAAGTCCGGCAAGACGAACCTCTGTGGCAAGATTCGCGCCACCCAGGGCAAGGGCGTCATGCCCGACGGCACCTCCCGCTTCCGCGCCCGCGGCAAGGACCTCCTCCACTTCATGGGCACGTCGACCTTCTCCCAGTACACCGTCGTCGCCGACATTTCAGTCGTCGCCGTCCAGCCCGACGCCCCCATGGACAGGACCTGCCTGCTCGGCTGCGGCATCACCACGGGCTACGGCGCCGCCCGCATCACGGCCCAGGTGGCTGAGGGCGACAACATTGCCATCTTCGGCGCCGGCTGCGTCGGCCTGTCTGTCGTCCAGGGCGCCGTTGTCAACAAGGCAGCCCGCATCATCGTCGTCGACGTCAACCCCACCAAGGAGGCGTGGGCCAAGAAGTTCGGCGCCACCGACTTTGTCAACCCCAACGACCTCAAGGACGGCCAGACCATTGTCGACAAGCTCGTCGAGATGACCGACGGCGGCTGCGACTACACCTTTGACTGCACTGGCAACGTCACCGTCATGCGCGCCGCCCTCGAGGCCTGCCACAAGGGCTGGGGTCAGAGCATCGTCATCGGCGTCGCCGCCGCCGGCCAGGAGATCAGCACCCGCCCCTTCCAGCTCGTCACCGGCCGCGTCTGGAAGGGCTGCGCCTTTGGCGGCGTCAAGGGCCGTTCCCAGATGGAGGGTCTCGTCTCTGACTACCTGAAGGGCGCCCTCA